GCTTCGGCTTTCCCGTGTGGGGGGCTCCGGAAGGAGGTCGGATCCGCTCGGTGAGCGGCTTGGGAAGGCACCCTTGCTCCCGCCAGGGGAGGGTGCCCGTCAGGAGCGGGAGGGCCCGTGGTCGGCCTCAGGAGGAGATAAGGAGAGCAATTCTTACCTGGCATCTGGATCTCCTGCTTCCCCTTCTCTGGGCTGAGCCAGCACCAGTGCGGTTTGGGCCCTGCACCTGGGCTCGAGCGCCGGGATGGGATGTTTTGGTAGGGAAATGCTCCTTTTTCCTCTGCGCTTTCCAGTAATCGCTTTCTTTTCTCCATAGCTCTGAAAAGGCTGCGTGAAGCTGCCAATAGCAATGACTTGGACACAGGTAGGACTTCTGCCAATCCTACTTGGGACCTCTTCCTGGAAGGGCAGTTTTGTCGAGGACCTTTAGTTTAGGAGAGGAGGAGAAGGGTGCCGATAGTTTGTGGACATAGTGCTTTAGATACTGCAAAACTAGAAACCGCTTTTCTGGAGCCTTGTTTCGTTCTCTGAGCAGAGTGAGGCTGGTTATAATATTGACTTTTTCACTGCATCTGGTTCATAGCGTTAGTTTTCCAACTGCCTTAAGCTAAATCAGCACTGCACTATTCCAGCTTTTTTGGTACGTAACTTTTGCCCAGTTGTAAGCAGCAAGAAAGTATTGTTTCGGTAAAGTGGAAAAGCTATGATTATCTAAGCCATACCCTGTGTGATGAGACAGTGTGACCCAGTAGATCAGAACCAGGAACAGTGCTGGACTCTGCCTCTCACCGTGACTTTAGAGAAGGCTCGTGACCTGTCTGTGACTCCCTTTACCTCTCGGTTCTGTAGATTAGGTGGGGTTTGATATGAAGTGTCCGGCAGCAATATTGGCCTATATTGTCTGGCCCTTATCATTGTCCCTCCTTAGACTATACTGTCCCCTCAGCTGTGCTGGCCTAACTGTTCATCGGGCCATTCTGTGAACAGAATTAGAAACTGATTTGACCTGTAGAAACTCCCAATATATCAGGATGGGGGTTTGTCTGGTGTGCTTTACCCTTCGGCTTCACAATACACCTTGTTTCATGAACTGATGGATAAAGTTAATCTGTGAGCTCTGTCAGTACACAAAGGCTTGGCTTCAGTCACCAAGTCAAGAGGAAGAATGAAAGAATCAGGCTTTATGAAAGTCTTGGTTCCAATCCATCTTAAGAGTTTTACACCTGTATTTGATACACAGGTTCCCCTGTTTACAGTCCTGCTGTCTTTTGTGTGCTCTGCAACTTGAGGAAGTGTCTGATGATGAATTTATTCTTCATCAACAAATAAAAACTTTGCTGTTTCCTATGGTGGCATTGGGTGGGAGAGGTTATGTCATTTCCTACTGACTTCAGGGAAGGACTAGGTAAAGTGCTCCCCATTGATGGTTCTCACTGGTGGTACTGTCAGTCTCCCTGTCTTTCTTCTGGAGTATCAAACATACCCCGTTAATGCCACTTCCATCTTTTCAGGTGTTCCTTTCACTTCTGTACCACACTTAAAGCAGTAGGTGTACAGGAAGAAGAAATTCAAATGTGACTATAATTCGATCTCTGGAAGCTGAGACCAATGGTGGCTTTCAGTGGTCTGAGCTATCTAGTTTCTTGTCTCCAATACTGGTCAGTCTTGACTGTTGCAGGATATGCTATTAAAGATCTCAAAATATAGCGAATCTGTCAGTATTTTTAACAGCTACGGAATGAGCTTTATTTTACACACTGATTACTATATCAGGATAATCTCAAAACCACAGGAGTAATAGCCCTTACAGTTGCCCTTACGCATGTTGCTGTAGATGCTGCTTTCACTGAGGCTGATCTTTTCAGCCTTTACCGGTCTCTTTGCCTTTGTTATACGCAGTACTGGAGACTCATACTGGTTTCTCTGTCTTTCTGTGTGAGCAGGTTTTTCCTTCTTATCTGAGAAAAGGAGGTAGTTCAGGTTACAAGAAGTGTCAGTGGTGGCATTGAAGAAGTAGCTGAGTGGAAAAGCAGGGGGAACAAGTGTGAGTAGATGATGGTATGGCTACTCAGGCTGTTCACTAGCTCACTTCAATACATTGTCTCCTAAGGGTATATTTGCACTGCTGCTGGCAGGTTGGTGCGCTCACTTGCCCGCTTCCCAATCAGTAGCCACCGTTAGTATGGCAAAACCTAGGAGTTTCAGATGAATCTAGGAAGCGGCATGTTCAAAACAAGTGTGAAGAGGTGTTTTTTCTCACTGCATGGAGTTACACTGTGAAACTTCTCACTGCAGGTCCATGTTGATGTGAAAAGTTTACACAGATGCAGGAGATGACTGTGCAAATCCACGGAGAAAGCCCATGGAGGGCTAGTAAGCACAGGATGCTATTTCTGGCTTGGGAAGTGCCCGAGATGCAGCTGACTAAAGGCCGTGAGAGTTAGCCCCACATCCTTGCTATCTTTTTATACTCTTCTGTAGGCATTTGCTGCTGATTGTCCTAGGAGCTTGAATATTTGGCTAGATGGATCCCTAGCCTTAGCCATTACAGCTGTTGGCTTGTCTCTGTGGCAGTACCTGGAAGCTGGTGAAGGCTGTAACAGAGGGTGGAGGGCACACTGCCTAGGCTGGTTCTGCTGAGCCAGGATGCTGGCTGGAGCTGGTTCGAGTCCAGTTGACTTGACAGCTAGCAGAGTGTGTATCTAACCGCAGAAGGGCAGGTAGCATTACCCCTTTCTGATCAGGTGCCCCTTCAGCTTACCTGCTTTCTTCTCCTCCTTGGTGCTGTCAGTGCAGCAACTCTTGGAGGACGGAACTGACCCCTGTGCCGCGGACGACAAAGGCCGGACAGCCCTGCACTTTGCCTCCTGCAACGGCAACGATCACATCGGTGAGTGGGGAGGGGGAGTTCTGTCATCTGACTTCTCTGTGGCAGAGATTTCAAAGGATGCTCTTTATTTTGGTTCAGCACATGACAGAGACTGCTGTTTTCCGTGTGTTTTGTGGCAAAGTTGCTCCAGGGCTTGCCATGTCCCCCTGCTGAAGGGGCAGCAGGAGCTCCCAGCTCTAGGGCTGTCCCGGTGCAGAAGGAAGGGTGTCCTTAGTCCCAGTTCTTCCCCTCAGGGAGCCCAGGGGCAGTGGCACTGCCTGGCTTTGTGCTGGGTCCTTCTGCATTGCTGCGCAAACCTCCGTCCCCTGTCTCTGGGAGGAAGCTGATGAGCTGAACAGGAGCATCCCTAAGGCAGCCTGGTGGCTGCCGCGTGGACCTGCGGCCCACGTGGGCCTGACCTGTGGGGCAAAGGGAAGGGACTGATGTGGCTCTGTTTCCTTGTTTACAGTGCAACTGCTTCTGGACCACGGGGCTGACCCAAACCAGAGGGACGGGCTGGGAAACACCCCCTTACACTTGGGTAAGTGCCAAACAGATGAGCTTTGCATGCAGAGAGGTGAGGTGAACACCGCCTTGCTGTTTCTTTCCTCTCCGCCTTCCTCTTTCCTGTGTACCACAGTTTGCATCCTCAGCTTTAAGGACCTAGGAGAGATTCTTTGCATTTCATTAGCTTCACTCGTCATGAAGGTTTAAGGGTCAGAGGTAGAGAAAATGCATTTCTCTCCCTCTGCCAGCCCCAAGGAGCATGACGTCTGTTCCAGAGAGAGTACCCAGGCTTGCACGTGAGGTTACCCTTAGCAGTCGGGCTGTTCCTCTTTCCCATGGCAAAGAGCCCTTTGGGAAACAGCAAGCTCCGTGCTTGAGCAGAAACTCCTTTGTTGTTTGCTAGTACCTCTGAGTTGTGTGTCCTGTGTTTTCCCTCCCCAGCTGCCTGCACGAACCACGTTCCCGTCATCACCACGCTGCTGCGCGGAGGTAACATTTCCTCTATAACAATTACAGCCTGTCCCTTTCCTGCCCTGCCCCTGTTGATACTCCCCGGGGACACTAAGCCTTGAAGACAGACCTCACTTTCTGTTCTTGCTCATGCATCCTGCAGGGGCCAGAGTTGATGCCTTGGATCGAGCTGGCAGAACCCCACTGCACCTCGCTAAATCAAAGCTAAACATCCTGCAGGAAGGACTCTCCCACAGCCTGGAGGCCGTACGCCTTGAAGTGAAACAGGTAAAAGAAACAGTCCCATGATCTGGTAAGGCGCTGCAGCCCCTGGCAGTTTCCTGCACCCTTTATTTAAATACCTGTCTGTAGGCTCTTAGCTGCTCTGGGGAGAGTTTGACTTTTTCCTTCTGTTTCCAGAGACCTTCCTTTTTCCCAACCGCTACTCTGAGTTTTTGCAGGGCCTCTCTTGGCTCTGGTAGGTCAAGGATGCATTGAATGTCTTAATTCTCGGGCTGTATGGGGCACTCTCTTTTCTTCAACCACCATGTAAGACAGATGCCTTGTGGCCGGAGAGGGACCACAGCATGGGGCTGTAACCATGGCTTGTACGCATTCCAGCAGGGACTTTGCATTCCTAGCGCAGCCTGCCCTGCTCCGATACCTGGAGGCGTGGGGTAGGAAAGCAGTCACGGGGCTGCATCACAAATGCACGAGGTGTGGGCCTCGCTTCAGGAGCCATATAGGAGCCACAAGAACGTTCATCCTCGGTGCGCAAGCAGATCCTGCTGGAGTGGGAAGTCCCTGCTCCTCGCAGTGAGGGAAGCTAGCTGGCCATAAAGAAAAGCTTGGTGCTTTCCGGGCTAGACCTTGTGCTTCTTCAGCTGGGCCTGTCTCTCTTGCCCGTTCTTAAACCAGGCACAGGGATCACGACTAGTCCATCTGTGGCTGATCAACGCCTCTGGTGACTCACTGGGCTCTGATGCTGCCATTAGTGCTTTCTGGTTGCTTTGCATGTGTTCTTTTCTGTGGGTCATGTATTCTGCCACATACCACAGCGTCAAGGCTGTGCTTGGCAATTTGACTGTAATTTAATTTTTCCTGTAAAAACATCCCGGCCTGGTGCAGCTGTCTGATGTTTGCCTCTTATGCCTGTTGGTTTCAGATTATCCAGATGTTGCGGGAATACCTGGAGCGTCTGGGGAGGCACGAGCAAAAGGAACAGCTGGATGACCTCTGCTCCAGGTTACAGATGACTAGCACAAAGGAGCAGGTAGGCGGCGTTGAGCTATGTGACTCACCTACTTGTGTTGTGACTTCTGTGCTTAGGGGAATGCAACTGCATGAGCAAGGTGACATTCAAGACACGGTTATGGAAGTGTTCTTGCCCACTTGGGTAAAGTGGGCAAGTTACGTGATGACTCGTGGTACTCCTTTGGGTTGGAATTCAAAATGCAGAAAGCATCGCTGTGCCTGGCAGCTCAGCAGAGAAGCTGAAGATCAGATGGGTCGAGGGCACAGGCGTTTTAAGGCCAGGATCAGCACAACCACACAGGGCTGCAGGGCCTGTTTGGGTTTTTTCTACAAAAGGTTGGCCCTTAGAAACAGGCTTAGAGGAAACAGCCCTGGTACCACTGTTGAGTTCTGGGTAATGCAGCAACACACTTCTCTTTTAAGGTCTGGCTAAATCACGCAAGGTGGAGGTCAAGCATTGACCTCTTGAGGAATGGGGAGAAGCTCCCATTGCCTTAGATTAGGACTTGTTTGATCGTGAGGACAGGAGCCCTCCCACACGACTGTGGGACCAAAGGGGTCGTGTCCTAGTGTAACCTCAGTGTGGGCATTGCTGGCAGTCCTGGTGCAAGGGTGGTCCCTGCTGCATGGGGGTGATCAGCTGCGCAGCTGCATTCCTTTGCCTAACGGCCAACTGTATTCTGTCAGGTGGACGAGGTTACAGACCTCCTGGCCAGCTTCACGTCGCTCAGCCTGCAGATGCAGAAGATGGAGAAGAGGTAATGGGCTTCCAAATCATCTTCCTGATGCAGCAGGAGAAGCCTTAGAGAGAGAAAGAGGAAGCTGAAGCTTGCTTCTCAGATCGCTGAATAAACATTGCTGCCAGCAGCCGTTCCTGCCAGATCCACTCTCCAGCGGTGCTCAGACTGTCCCTGTGGGTGCTGCCACAGCTGCCTCACGGGGAGGCAGCAGGCTTTGGACAACAGAGACAACAGAGTGCTGCAACTGAGAATTCTGGAAAAAAAGAGTTACTCTTCTTTTTGTCAGATGGGCTGGCACTGAATAGGGTACCCCTTCCAGAGATACTCTGCCTTCTCCTGAGCACTTCAGCTCGATGTAGGTGGTGGCTGATGCCATGTGCAGTCACCAGCCCTGACTAGTGCCCTCAGCAGCTGGCCAACATCACAGAAATGCTTGGAACAGGCACCTTTTGCCACCTCTGCAGTACTCACTTGCATGGGGGAGAAACTGGATGATGCCTTGGACAACAGAAGGCTTTGCGCCGTGAGAAGAACACACGCTTAATTCTGCATGCTAGCAGCTGAGCAAACATACTGCCTTGAGAAACACGCACTGAGGCTTAATCCTAACCTTCCCCAGAGCCTGCGGTCAGAGGGCAGAGAATCTGTCTGGTTACAAATGGGATACAAAGCTTTTAATCACTAGACTAACAGCTTTCACTGGCCCTGGTTTTTAAATCACTGCTGCAAGTTAGTGCTTAAATACTACAGTGAAACACTTGCAAAAAATACCCAGGTAGACAGCTAGCAGGTCAGAGCTGCCGTGATGCAAGAATAAAGTTTGGGGGGTGACTTAATCCTAGCGCAGTTTTAGGCAGACATCTACATCTTGCAAAAAAACTCACCATAACTGACTGACTTTTGTGTTTCTTATTACTGGCAGTCTTGGGCAAGAGGTCCAGTTGCAGTAGGAGGTGTTGTGTATTCAGCCATATTATTGGGCTGGGATGGAGGTGGATTTACAGCTGCCACAGCAGCACCAAACCCAGAGCTGACCCATAGTGTGTTTCTTGCTTGTCATGGAGCGGTGCTGCTCCAGGACCTCAAGTGCAGCATGAGGAACGAGTTGTGACCTCTGTTGGGAGCCTGAAGTGATGCAGCTATGAAGGATGCAGGGAATTGCCCTTGTTAATCTCTTGCCTCTGCACCGCTGTGGTTGGTAATGAAGATGTAGATAGCTTTGTTTTGGAGCAGGGATCCATAAATCTTGTTGGTAAGGCACGAATAGCAGCAGGGTGACAAGAACATGCCCAATAACAATCTGAGTTCCCAGCTGTGTGCCACGCCTAAATGACGTGGTGTGCCGGTAGCAATACCCATCCCACAGCTTGGGAATCGCTGGTTTGGAAGTGTCCATTCTTAGGATTCAGCTTAACCATGCAACAGCCACAGTTTGGAGCATTCTTCGGAGACCTTCAGGTCAGCGTGTTCTCTAATATCTGGCCTCTTGTCCAGGAAAAGGCTAAGTGGACCTCCATGTTCAAAGCTGAGATACCAGAAATACGCATGGCTTTTAGATAGGTTCATCTGTGGGGTGCTGGAGGCCATGACTGGGACTAACGGTCTTGCGGTTTGGCTGGAGCTGTCACTGTGAATACTGATACGTGGTTACAGTATGCTGGATGCGAAGGATAATGAGGGGGCGGGAGACAATATGACCTTTTTGTATTTTGAACTTAAATAAAATCCTGTCAGCCTTTTCAGACTACTCAGCCAAATTCTCTCTTTTTTCAGAGTGGCTCGTTCCTTTTTCTTTACCTATGTTCCAGGCCCCAGGCACAGCACCGGATTTGGTAACTGCTACCCTCATACTGGGTACTGAAATTAGAAGCGACAACACAAAGTTGTTTGAATTCAAACACCAGTCTGTTTGCAGGTCGAAGTACATGGGTGCTGACTCACCTTCTGATCTTGACTCCCACAGCCAAGAAATCCAAACTTTAAATCTAGTTAGTTGCCGTGAAACCGTACAAATAGAGGAAAGAGAATCTCAGCGGGATTGCTTCAAGCTGGAAGATGGGATGTTTTGCAAAGAGGAAAAGCAGCCTTGCCCAGTCTGCACTCCTGCATAAGTACGGAGCTGGTGGGGAGAAGGCGGCTGAACTCGTGCCTTGCCCCCTGCCAGGTAAAATGGCTGTGCTGTGAAGAGACAGCAAGGGGATGAGGGGCTGGGGAGGGACGTCTGGGCAGGGCAGAGAATTTCCAGGGTGGTCCCTGTGTGAGGAGCAGGTGACTTTCGTGTCCAGTCTTTACTTCTCTTGTTTCTTCCCATCTTCACAGCCTAGCCTTGGTGTCCACGTACACCCAGCTGTCAACGCTTCTGCACTCAACAGCCTTGTTGCTGAGGAGACCATTAAGGTGCCCAAAGAGCAGGCAGCTGAAATGCTCTTTATCACTGCAGTTACCTTAGTTGCTGACGTTGTCTGCTAACTAGACACAGCTTAGAAGCTTTCCTCAAACCCCAAATACACCTAGCTGGGGCTCGGAGCGAAGCTTTTAGCCTGAGCCCACGTGACATTGTTGTCCACAGCTCTTCAGGCCTTTGTCTTGCCTGGTGCTGGGGTTTTTAATAACTGCTCCTGACTGTATGCTCGGAGGGGAAAGGTGGGGATGCTGCAGCCAGCTGAGTGTTTGCCTTGCCTCTTTTGCAGCACTGCTTCCTCTATGAGAGGTGAGGCAGCGCTGGTGGTCCCCCGGAGACTGGTACAATGAGCTGAGGCAAATAAAACCAGCAGGCTTGTAAGAAGTTTTGCCACTACTTCATCGATAATACCAGATAAGAAAGAGAAAAGGGGATCTGGTTTTCGGGGGCGGGAAAAGCATCATGTAGGAATCACCACACTCAGTTCTGCTTTCCTGCCTCAGGGCTGAAGCACTGGGCTGCTGAGAGCCATGTCATGTGTTTGGCACTGGACTGAGAAAAGTTTTAGGTTTCTTTGTGTCAGCTGGTCATGCCAAAGCCTTGACTACCCTGCCGTGTCCGGCAACTGTATCTCAAAAGACAGTTAGGTGCTGGGGAGGGAAAGAAGGAAAGAAAAGGTTCCAGGGGAGGAGGAGAGTGCGGCTTCATGCTGTGCCGAGAGCTGTTCGCTGGCACTATTTGCTTTTTCTGCTGCTCCTGGTCTGGAGTCTTTGGCCTCTCCCAGCAGCTTTTCCCCCTGCTCTTGCATCCCGGGCCACATATTTCCCTGCACAGCCCATAGGTGTGAGGCTGGTGGCAGCTTTCCGCATATTCCAGAGGTGTCTGCGCAGTAACAAAGAATGAAAACAACAGCAGAGGTTTCCCTCTGCTATTTATTTTGCCGTTAAACTCAGGCCAACCTCCTCGTTTTTCTTGTGCTACACCATCAAACACATTCCAGGTCCCTTCCGGAGTGGTGGTGCATCCCCCTCCTTGGGGCCCATGGCGTCAGGCTGCCAGCATGCCGTGGCAACCAGGACTTGACCCAGGGCCCTGCTTCCCCCTCACCGCTGCCTGGCCTCCAAATACACTCCATTTCCCCTCCTCATTCAGAGCACGGCTCTGCAGTGACGCGCTGAATCCCCAGCCACTGAACCCAGCAGCAACCTCCCCAGCTCTGCAGCCGCTGCTGTGCTGTAAGACACAACCGAAACCAGCCAGGTTGAGGATCTGGATCATCCAAGCAAGCAAAGACTGAAAACCTGCTTGTGTCTCATCAAGGACCCACAGCAGAAGCAACAGCCCTGAACAAAGCCTCCTAACAAAGCTGCATGGATGTTATTAAGCAAAAGGCCTATCTCTGAGGCGGCCACTCACCCATGCAAGGGAATGCAAAGTGCACACTGCAGTTATGTGCAAACATCAAGAATCTGTTCAATTCTTCAGCAGCTGAAATAATTAAACTCCAGGGTATCGAGCCAACATCTGAACTCCATTACTTCCTCCACCTTTGCCTTTCTAGCAGACTCCAAATCCATCATTGTAATTATCTGCGCTGCTAAAGAAGCCCCATGAAGCATCTCTGGCAAACCTCCCACTCTTTCGTCTGCTTCCTCCGCTTGTTCCGTGAGTAAGACAGATCTCCTCCATCATGGAAAGCTGCTTGCGGAAAGATGCCTTCTTCATGCACTGTGCCTGGCCAGCGTGGGAGAGCAGCCCTGGGCAGCTCAGAGCCCACAGGGCGACTAGGTGGAAGAGCCAGCAGTTCTTAATCAAAACTGTAGCTGATAAAGGAGATACGGCAAATAGCATTTCTCTGGGCTTTTCTGAAAGCTCTGAGAGGGGAAGAGAGCACGTGGTTGTTGGAAGAATTAAAATAATCAGCTGGCAACCTGCTAAGGCTGGCCATGGATTAGGAACCAACGGCTAAAGCCAAAAGCAAATAAGCAGAATTCTCTATAGCTGATAGTGCTACGTGCCCTGACCACCCCTGTCACACCGTAACCTCTCTGGCCGGCAAGGCTGTCTTGCCGCGAGATGCATTTGCAGTGCTGTCCTGGCTGTTTGCAGAGTGTCTGTACAAGGTCCTGCTCCCACGAGCGCAAGGGCAGTGCTTGAGCCCATTGCCCTGCCAGGCCTGGAATTAGGAGCTGTCCTTGTAACAGCTTCCCCTGGCCTTCTGCCTCCCCCAGCCGCATCTGTCTGCAGACAGGGAAACCGCCACCAGGGCTGCCAGATTTGCACATGAGCTTCTTGGTACCTGGGTCTGACATCTCCCAGCAGCATCAGGCTGACAGCACGCACGCTGGGGAGATGCGTGGGCACCAGAGCCGGCACACAACTGGCAGGACTAAGTTGCTCCGCAGAGGATAGCTATGCTCGGCTTGCAGGGGAGCTGGTGCCGACCACTGGTCGCAAAGCCCTGACCTGCCCTTGCCTCCCCTGTTCCCTCTGCCCCATGCCAGCTCCTGGCGCGGCTGCACTCAGTGGGTTTGGCAAACTGGCCTCTGCAGGGTTAAAGCCAAGCTCATCAGCCCGAGTGATGACAAGTAGGAAAGAAAATATAAGCAAGGAGTCATTAATTAAGGCGAGAAGCTGGGAGCGGAGACTGCAGAATGCTAATCAGTCTGGAGGGGAGGCTGCGCGGAAAGCAGCAATCAAGCTCCTTCAGTTTTAATTAAACCCGGCTCTATATCAAGGACGTGACACCTTTTCTTCAGCTCTGCCTTTGAGCTGTGAAACCAATTGGAATGTGCATGCTGTTACTGGGCAGAAAGGAATTCCCTTCTGGCTCCAGAGCCTCCCCAAGCCAGGCTCAGCATCTGCCCTTCCCACTCATGTGCTCCCCAAAATCAGGGCTTAACACCAGGCAGAGCTAGGGATGGGAGCTGGGGTTTGCAGATGCTTGTCGTGCTAAATGCACTTTCTCCCCCAGGTTTTCTCCCTGTCTTCTCTGTCCTGTTTTATGTAGGCTTCACCCCAAAGTGCAGCAGTCAGTCCTGACCTGATCCACTCCTTTTGCAAGCCAGGACCAGGAGGAGCAGGAGCAGGGGCAAGCAACAGCCTGGCCGCAAGCGGGCAAGAACAGGCAGCGTCTGGCTGTGCCGGCATCACTGCTCCCGACCACCGTTCCCTTCTCCCTCTGATGCTTTGGGCTGTGAAGTGGGGCCTCAGCCCCAGAAATGATGCAGATATTTGTGTTACCTGGAGGCTGCTTGCGGCCA